AAAAAAAAAAAAAAAAAAAAAAAAAAAAAAAAAAATGTAGAAAAATCGAAAATAAATAGTACTATATATTTTTAAATACACTTCAAATACTTGCTGGTTGCGTTATTTATATTGTATTTTAAGTGGCTGTGATATATTCACTTCACATCGTCTTTATCTGTTTATTGCTTTTTTAATAGTTGAAGCGACTTGAATGAGATTGTTTGAAAACTGATTAATGATTAGTTGTTTTCAACTTGCTGTTCATCACTTCTGTCACTACAGTCGCTGGACTTCAATATAGAAATTCTATTTTTTTGGTTGTATTTATACCGAATATGTCTTATTTGAATGAATTAGGTTGATTTTAATAAAAATATCCCGGTAACGAAGCTAAATATTGTATTGAAATATAATATAAGTTCAGAGCTGCATCGATCCTTCTTGAGACAGTGAGAAAATAGCGGAAATCAGATGATATCCCCGCTCATTCTACAAAGAACAGTTCCGAAACATAAAATTTTAAATCCGGTATCATAAGAGAGATTCGTAATAACCGAAGAACCGAATTTGACGCTGGAAGTTTCTGCGTCCATATCTCTGGACCTACGAGTTGCTGTTTTGTCGCTTACTTCCTATACAACATATTTTTTCAGTATTAAGTTTACAAATCAATGTATCCTGAGATGTGATGAAAATTATTGTAAGAAAACTTCTATCTAACATGGAAAGAGGTTTCTAGAAAATAATTGAATTATATAAAGTATATATTGTCTTATTCGCCATTAATGTACGACATTCGCTTAAAAGAACTTTTCATGGGTTCGCATTTCCAATAAAGTTTCAAAATATAAATTTAAGATTTCATTCAGAAGAATCTCACCACTGAGCAATTTTAATTCATTTCTTTATTGTTATCAGTCTGTTTAACACACCGCTCGACTCTGCGCAATAGACACTATTACAGTTGCGTGAAACTAATGAACAACGTTATAAGATCAAGCAATAATACGTTGAATTTTTATCTGCGTATTCAATTTTGAAACTTTTCTTTACTTACAAGAAAAGTATGGGCATTATTAAAGCAATTAAAGTAAATATATTTACACATCTCGAAAAATAGTTCTGTAAAAACTACAGTTTATATTGTTTTTATTCGATTTTAAATAAGCAAATTATTTAAAAGCATTTTTCTTAAAAATACTATTATTGTCCAAGTCCGCTTGACGTCGTCACGGCATTAACTCCACTATTTGCGGCGGAATCGCTTTTCACTCATTTTATGCCCTTTCGTGGAATTTGACGAAATTTATTATTTAGTAAGGCCGTACCTTTTTTCAGTGAGACCAAAGTTTCTCGAAATAGTTCAGATCTGAACTGCAACAAGGATAGTCAAATACAGTTCCCAAATTGTTAATGCRTCAAATTGAGTATTTCGGACCGTTTCCTACTAGTACATCTACGTTACGGACATGTTGGCGTTGGCAAATAGGCACGCCATAAAATTACAGTCCAAAGGAAGATAATGCTGCCTCCATTCTTCAGTGTTGGACTAATGTAC